ACATATATGACAGGGCACAAGTGAATGAAGGGCAGAGAAAGAGAGAGAGAGAGGGAGAGAGAATCTCACAAAGGGAAGAGAGAGAGAAAGAGAGGGAGGGAGAGACAGAGAAGCAGGGCCCACCCAGAGCGAGGCTCGTGCACACCTGATGCCGGGCTTGAATTCATGGATCGTGAGATCCTAACCCGAGCCGAGGTCAACATCTCTCTTTCAATCAAATGCTAGAAATCATTAAGCTTAGAGAGGAAGGCATGTCGAAAGCCACGATAGGCCTAAATCTAGGACTCTTGTGTCAAACAATTAACCAAGTTGTGAATACAGAGGAAAAGTTTTTGAAGGACATTAAAAGTGCTACTCCAGTGAACACATGAAGGATAAGAAAGCAGAACAGCCTTATTGCTGATAAGGAGAAAGGTTTAGTGGTCTGGATAGAAGATCAAACCAGCCAAAACATTCCCTTAAACCAGAGCCTAATCCAGAGCAAGATCCAGACTCTATTCAATTCTGTGAGGGCTGAGAGAGATGAGGAAGCTGCAGAGGAAAAGTTGACGCTAGCACACATTGTTTCGTGAGGCGTGAAGGAAGAAGCCATCCCCACAACATAACAATGCAAGGTGAAGCAGCAGGTGCTGGTGGAGAAGCAGCAACAAGATGGTCTAGCTAAGACCATTAATGAAGGTGGCTACACTAAACAATACATTTTCAAATCTAGCCTTATACTAGAAGATACCATCTAGGACTTTCATAGCTAGAGAAAAGTCAATGCCTGCCTTCACAAATTCAAAGGACTGGCTGACTTTCTTGTGGAGGATTAACGCAACTGGTGACTGTAAGTTGAAGCCAATTCTCATTTACCATTCTGAGAATCCTAGGGCTGGTAAGAGTTACGCAAAATCTACTCTGCCTTTGCTTTGTAAATGGAACAGCAAAGCCTGGATGACAACATATCTGTTGACAATATGATTTACTGAATATTTTAAGCCCACTGTTGAAACCTATTGATCATAAAAAAGTGACTTCTTTCAAAACAATAGTGCCCATTGACAGTGCACCTCGTCACCAAAGAGACTTGATAGAGATGTACAGCAAGGTTAATGTTGTGTTCATGCCTGCTAACACAACATCTATTCTGCAGCCCATGGATCAAGATGCAATTTCAACTTTCAAGTCTACTATTCCTTTCAAGTTATAATTAAAGTGTAACTGACATACAATGTTTTATTACTTTCAGACGTATAACACAGTAATTCAACACATTCTGTACATTACTCAGTGCTCACCCCAATAAGCATAGTCACTGTACATCATTACAAATTATTGTCTATATTCTCCACACTGTACTTTTCATCTCCATGACTTGTGATTTTAAAACTGGAAGTTTGTACCTCTTAATTCCCTTCACCTATTTTGCCCATCCCCCCACCAGCCTCCCTTCTGGCAACCACCATATTGTTCTCTGTATTTGAGTTTGGTTGGTTTGTTCATTTATTTTGGGTTTTCTTGTTAGATTTCATATGTAGTAAATACTATGGTATTTGTCTTTCTCTGACTTATTTCACTTTGAATAATATGTCCAAGTTGTAGTAAATTACAAGATTTCCTTCATTTTTGTGACTCATATTCCGGTGTGTGTGGTGTGTGTGTGTGTGTGTGTGTGTGTGTGTGTGTGTGTACCACATCTTCTTTATCCACTCATCTATCAGCGGACACTTGGGCTGGTTCCATATCATGGCTATTGTAAATAATGCTGCAGTAAACATATGGGTACATATATCTTTTAAAATTAGTGTTTTCATTTCAAGTCTTATTACTTAAGAACTACATTTTATAAAGCTATAGCTGCCATAGATAGTGATTCCTCTGATGGATCTGGACAAAGAAAACTGAAAAACTTCTGAAAAGGATTCAGTTTTACATGCCAGTAAGAACATTTGAAATTCATGGAAAGGTGCCAAAGTATCAACACAAAGAGGGTTTTGAAAGAATTTGTTTCTAACCCTCATGGATGACTTTGAGGGGTTCAAGACTTCAGTGGAGGAAGTAACTGTAGATATTGTGGAAAGAGCAAGAGAACTAGAATTAGAAGTGAAGCTTAAGGATTTGACTGAATTGCTGCAATCTTATAATGAAACTTGAGCAGATGAGGAGTTTCTTATGGATGGGCAAAGAACATGTTTTCTTGAGATGGAATCTATTCCTGGTGAAGATGCTGTGAAAATTGTTGAAATGACAACAAAGGATTTAGAATATTAAATCAACTTAGTTGATAAAGCACTGGCAAGGGACTGGATGAACTCCCATTTTGAAAGAAGTTGAGTTGTGGGTAAATGCTATCAAACAACATCATATGCTACAGAGAAATCTTTAATGAAAGGAAGAGTCAATCTATGGGGCAAGCTTCACTGTTGTCTTATTTTAAGAAATTGTGGGTACCTGAGTGGCTTAGTCAGTTAAGCATCCAACTTCAGGTCAGGTCATGATTTCATTGTTCATAGGTTTGAGCCACACATCAGACTTTGTGCTGACAGTAAGGAGCCTGCTTGGGAATCTTTCTCTGTCTCTCTCTCTCTCTGCCCCACCCCTGCTCTCTATCTCTCCCTCTCAGAATAAATATTTTAAAAAATTAAAAAAAAAAGAAATTGCCACAGCCACCCCAAACTTCAACAACCACCATCCTGATCAGTCAGCAAGCATCAGTAAGGCAAGACCCTCCCCCAGCAAAAGATTATGATTTGCTGACAGCTCATATGATGGTTAGCATTTTTTTGCAATAATGTATTTTTAAATTAAGGTATGTATATTGCTTTTTTAGACATAATGTCATCACGCACTGAATAGACTATATAGTATAAACATAACTTTTATATGCACTGGGAAGTAAAAAAAAAAATCATTTGACTTTCTCTATGGTGGTGGTCTGGAACTAAACCTGCAATATCTTCAAGGTATGCCTGCATTCCTAATCTCATTAACTAAACAAGTATAGGAAACCAGAATACTTTCCAAAACCAGAAGGAAATTAACATATGAAAGGGCCACTTGCAAAACCCATGGTGAAGTAGAGCCTTCATTCCACAGTCATTAAAAAACCAAAATTTAAAAATGTGTAGGTCTATCATATCATATAAAAATTATCCTCATTTATTTTCTCAGACATTAACCTAATCACCAATTTTTCATCTTTTAAGATAGCTGGATATTTGTGATTAGAATAGTAAATCAATATATTTAGTTCTTGAGAAAATGAAATATCTACTTAACAATTGAGTTTTCCAAATTTTTCTCTAAATGAATAGTTTGGAGATATTGAGCATGCTCCCACTATGCAACAAGCCTCAGTGACCTTGGTTAAATTACTTAGCTACTCTAAGTCTCACTTGTATCTTCAATAAAATGGAAAGAATACGACCTATCTCATAGGACTGTTGTCAGAAGAGAATTGAATGAGATTTTATACACTCACGCACACGCGTGCACGCACACACACACACACACACACACTTCCATACTTGTATAGCCCAGCACCTTGTACAGAGTGGGCATTCAATAAATATTAACTATTTTTAGAAATTGCATTGAGATGGTGCCTTATCTCTCACAAGCAAGACTCTCTCAGCCTTCTTCAAAACATATATATTGATCAGTCAAATGCTAAGAATAGAGCAAAACAAAATTCTTTGCCTACATGGAGGTTATGTTTTGACCTAAATGGAAAATATTAGAATAGTCCATTTTGACAGTTTCTACACACTTTTAGTATCTTTGTGTAATTAACCTTAGTACATCTTGAAATTAATCAATTAGATTGGCTTTGCAAAGCCAAATTAATAATTCTTCTTAGCCTTCTACCATTTAGTTATCGTCATTGACACTTACAATGAAGAGGTTTAGACTTTATCATTTATCCTTTAAAGATATCAATGAAATATTTTATCTCTGTATGGCCTTCTGATAATACAAATAATAGAATGTTAAAGATATTAGGACTAAAAGGATCTCACAGGAGCACCTGGGTAGCTCAGTCAGTGAAGCGTCCAACTTCAGCTCAGGTCATGATCTCTCGGTTTCTGAGTTTGAGCCCTGCATCCGGCTCTGACAGCTCAAAGCCTGGAGCCTACTTCATATTCTGTGTCTCCTCCTCTCCCTGTCCCTCCCATGCTCATGCTCTGTCTCTCTGCCTCTCAATAATAAATAAATGTTAAAAAAAGGGATCTTCTACAATTCACTCACTTTATTTATCTCTTGAGATACCAAAGTCTAGACTTTAAGTAACCTAAGTAAAGACAGAATTGTCATTAAAAGACATAGGACAGAGTTAGCATATCTAAAAGATATACCTTTTCATGGTACTCATTTTGTTAGGGAGAAAATGTACCTCTTGAATCCTAAATGCCATAAAATTGGTGAAGATTATACTGACGTGAATGACTGCTGTCTTTGCTAACAGCTGGATTCCAATGGAGAACTGCTCATCCGAAATGCCCAGCTGAAGCATGCTGGGAGATACACGTGCACTGCTCAGACAATCGTGGACAATTCTTCAGCTTCAGCTGATCTTGTTGTGCGAGGTAAGAGTTTCAACATTTTAAAATCATGAAACCAAAGGTATTTGACTTGCATAACTATGTATAATCTTCTGGTCACTCTGGTATGAATTCTTATATATTTAGAGTCTTGGTCCTTGAGAACAGCTCCTCATCCATGCTTAAGAATGATTTTTGGTAGACAAGTAGTAAACAACACTGATTTTGTTTGTTTTACTAACTACATGTCTTCTAGAAACTTACACCACATACCTCCTACTAAATGTTTGTGCTTTTAAACTCAGTATTTACCAGAAGTTCTCAGTTTCTGCTAATATTTTTCTTGTGTTGAGAATAGTGTTTCCATTTTTATTTTTTATGGAAAAAGCATACTGATACTGTTTACTATAAGTTCAAGTGTTACGTATTTATTACTGTAATCTTAGAATAAGAAGTTAATTTATACATGCATCGTGTTTCTATTTGTTGCTAGCTTTCAGAGCAGTGTTTTTGTTCTTATATATAATTGAGAATGTGCTGGAATATGCCCTTTTTGAAAATACAGCTCCTTTGATACTGGTCTTTGCTGTATAGCTGTAAGGCCATCTCAAAACATCATTCATTGGCTCTTCCCTCACCGCCTACAGAATAAAGACCACTCCTTTTAACTAAGCACCAAGAAGGTCCATGTATTGACCTCAGCCTGTTTAGCTTTAATTTCTTACCATTCTACGTAACCAACTCCAATGTCCCACCAGTCTACAAAAATATCCTAGGATTTCCAGCTGTGTTCCTTGGTTCACAACATTGCTTCCATTTCCTGTAGTCATTATTTGTTGCCCAAGTCTTAAGCCATCCTTCAAGGCTAGGCTCAAGTATTACCAAATTAATGAGTCCTTTCCTGATGTCACCAACATAAGCCCTTCTCTTCTAAACTTTCATAACATTTACTAATTTCTATAATGCATTTTATAGCAATCTGTGCATATGAGTTATCTTCTCTACTGGATTGTGAAATTCACATACGTATTTTTTATTAATCCTTAGGTGAGTTGTAGAATTCCATTTCATATTTTCATAGCTCTCTTTTTCTCTCTGTGTCATGTTAACATTTTAATTTTATTCTTTTTTATGTTAAAGTTTTTATGTTTTCATATTTCATCTACTAGAAATACTTATTGACTAATATTTATTGCACACTTGTTCAGACACTTTTTGCACAATCAAACAAATATTTAGTAAATGACATGAGATATGTGGTTTGTCTTCATACCCTTTCTGGATCATTATAGTTTCATTCAACCTCATACATCTCCCGTATTTCCCTCTAGAGCAATGGTAATATGGAGTCCCCAAGTCATACTGGGGAAATGCTGAGAAGACTTATAGTCCAGTTAACATATTCTCCAATGGAGTAATAGAAGTCCAGCTGAAGTTCATATCCAAATGAACTTAGACATTCATTCCATACATCTCTTATGCTAACTTGAAGAAAGTGCATTTAAATTCTGTATTTCCATTAAAAGTATTTTATGATCTGGGACATCTAGCATTCAAGAGTTATCAGAGAGAGAGAGAGAGAGACTAGTTCCCTGTATTTTCCAGTCAGACTACTAGCTGTTAAGCCTTTTTTAGCAATAACCTATGTATGTATTTAATGGAAATTGCTTGCATATTAACAGATTTAGCATTAATGTTACAAAAGGGGTTATGTTACAACGCTTGTATGGCAGTGTTTGTATATAATTAGAGTATGGTAAATTCCCAGTATTTAGAAGGAAGAAGAAGTTTGGCAAATGCAATCAGGGTATTAATGGTATTATCCACACATACTTAGGTAATTAATAATCATCATAATGTATGTTTTTTATAGAGGTAAAACAAATAAAAGGAAGCTACTACAGGTATTGTTTGGAAATATAAAGGTTTTTCTGTAAGCTTTTTAGTTCCAGAGAAAATCCTTTAAATCAATAGAACCTGGCAAGTGCACTCAGTAGAAACACAATAGAACATTTTAAGCCCCTAAACTACAGCAGGATATTAAAAAACAACCATATAGGCAGATAAAAAGTATTGCTTAGTACTGTTAAAAGTCTGCAAGTTATAATCATTCTCCAAACTTTATTTCTATTAATATAAAAGGTATTCAATTTATGTCAAGAGAAGTTTGCTATTAAAAAAGCCAATATTTGCATATCTTGTGCCACAAAATGTATATAAATTAAACCTTCAAATATGCTTTATATATTAAGTCATGGGATATAAAATTAAACAGTTCTTTTAAATTTATTATAGTAACGATGAGTAATATATAAGAAAATATAGCATGCCTCAAGTAATATTATTATTGGTCCATTTATCCATTTAATTTATTTTCTCATCTAGTCCAGGAAATCATAGTCTGGAGTCCATAGACAGGATTCAAGGGGTCCCATGGACTTCCTGAAATTGTATGCAAAATTTCATGTGTGTGTATGGCATTTATAATTGTATATTGTGGATTTATAATTTTATAAGATTTCCAATGCTGGCAGTGGCCCAAAAGACCATTTTTGGCCCAAAGGCCAAGAAGCTTAATCTGTTTTTCTTTCTTTCCCTTTTGTAGATCAAGACTCTCTAAAAAGAGAAACTAAGGGATGATTATTCACTTCATGCCAATAAAAAAAAAATACAAACAAGTTCCACATAGTGAGATCTAGTAGCACATTTAGATTATGAATTGCTTTTGAAAAACTCAATTTTCACTCAACCTTCCAAGAATATATCTGTCTCAAAACATATTGAATATGTTATATATTAGACATTATATATATATGTCTATATATATAATGTCTATATATATGTATATATATGTATATATATAAAAGAATTTGCCAGATTCGAGATGAACTAATTCTAATTCATTTTCAGATGTCAGTGATCTAAACTGCTGATTCTGAAATTAGTGTTAGGAGTGGGGCAGTGAGCAGGTTAGAGAGGAAAGTAATTTCCTCTGATGATCCCTGATAAATTTTTTGGACAATAAAACTAGTTTAGTGCGTAAACTGTTATGCCTTATCAGAAGGCTGAAATGAAAGTAGAAATATTCAGATGTAACTTAGACATTGTGGTTTCTTTTAGCCTATGTTACCTTGAAGGGAACGAATACAAATGAAAATTATTGTTATCACACCGTGTGTGTGTGTGTGTGTGTGTGTGTGTGTGTGTGTGTGTGTGTGTAACCATGGATGGGTGAATGTGGGTATGTTCATAAAGTTTGATGAAAGGAATTTCTATGAGAGAGAAAAATGTGTTTTCGGTTTATATTTTTCATCGTTATTTTAAACTGAGTTTAGAATAGAGGCAATGCATTAGTTAAATCTGAGTGCTTCTATATATAAAATGAAATTAAATATAGGAAAAACACAGTCCAAGGAAAATGTAACATTGGATCTGATTTCATGGAGCTTTTTGCCCAGAGAAAACTCATCTTCCACCTTTATCTGTTTAATGTATGATGGGATTGAGAAATAAGGAAAACAATAGCTAATGTGGTCAACCAAAACCAATTTATAGAAAATGGTCTAATAATCAGCTACAAGTCATTGTAACAGTCCTAAATGTTTATGTTTAAAAATGAATAGGACTTCAGGGGTACCTGGGTGACTCAGTTGGTTAGGCATTCGACTTCGGCTCAGGTCATGATCTCACGGCTCGGCTCATGGATTCGAGCCCACGTCAGGCTCTGTGCTGACAGCTCAGAGCCTACAGCCTACTTCAGATTCTGTGTCACTCCCCCTCTCTACCCCTCCCCTGCTCACGCTCTGTGTCTCTCTCTTTCTGTCTCTGTCTCAAAAAATAAACATTAAGAAAATTAAAAATCTATAGGACTTCAACTTATTTACCCACTAAATGAGCCAATGATTGCTCAAGGATTAGACCATAAAAGTGGTGCACATTGTCCATTCCTCCAGTTATGCAAACAATTTCAAATCATGGGGTCACACTCACTGTGTGATTTTCACTTTTGATTTCCAAAGTTGCCTTTTATACTACTTCTGTCCTTTCACTATGGATATGTTTCTGCTAGTCTTTGTACAGAATAGAGCTTATTTTTGCATAAGTAACCTTTATTCAAGCAGTATGGTTTTGGAAGCCCTATATATAGAATTCAAGTTGCACTGATTGAAAAAAATCAAAACTATTTACTTTACTGGCAATATGCTCATTCAGTGTTCTAAAAACTCTTTCATTAAAAGCACCCAAAGTTTTGGATAAATCAGTATACATTCTTCCTCACAGCCTTGGCAAAGGCAGAAGAATACCCTCTCTAAATAGTGAGCCTTCAAATATGAAATTATGCAAAGAATGACAAACAAGCCATAATGAGAGAGAACCAGGAGTTAGATTGATGGACAACAATAGTGTTTAAGTTCAAGGTACTTCACATATTCTAATCATTGGAATAGGAATGAGAATAATCCTGCCCATATCTTTAAATAAATAAAAGAACTGGCCAAAATGAGTTTGAAACAAGATATTATAAAAATTATCAGTTTGGAGGGGGAAAAACAAGGACAGTTTCTATAAATGAAAAATATAATCATTGAAAATAATAAAAACAATAGATTAATCAATAAGTTAAACAATAATTAGAGACAGATCAGGAAAGGATCAGGGAACCTAAGAGGTAGATGTGAGGAAATTAACACATTTCAGCACAGAGAAACAAAAACAAATTATGAAAATGAGATGATGATATTAAGGATCTAATGAGAAAACAGTATTTGTCAAATCAGATGATCAGAAGAACTAATAGATAAAGTAGGAGAGAAAAACCTTTCAAAAAGATAATGACTACAGATTTTTGGAAATTAGTGAGAAATATGGTTTCTCGTTTTTAAGAATCACAATGAAACACAAGAACAATCAATAAAAATAAATAATGAAAATAAAACCCAAGAACATTAAAAATAGATAGAAAATGGTAAGTACAGCAAAAGTGAAAAATACCTTTTTGCAAATGCATAGCAATACATCGGCTGCAGACTAATCAGCATCAGCAA